TAGTATTTTGATTAAAATTATGAGAAGTAAAATGAATCAATAAATATTGAAATGAAAACCCTGGGAGGGCATCTAGTCTGGCTTTGGAGGCAGATTGAAGGTAGAGATTAACATAGTCAAGAAAAGACTTTACTGGAATACGTTGCCCATTAAGCTCAACCTTCACAGTCTTTCCAAGGCATCTCCCGCCAAGTCAATCACCCGCTTTTTCATCAGGGCAACAACATCATCTTCAAGATGAGTCATATTGAATTTTGCTAAGTCAGGCTTAAATGTAACTTTTGTCCAGTTTTCGCTGTCCTTGCATTTTGTTATGACGGGCTCAGATTTCTTTCCCATATTGTTGGAGAAAACCTTCATAGGAGTGGAAGGAACTTGCCAGTTAGCAAAGCACATGAATCATAATAAGGCTTTGTAAGGAAAACTATATGTACAAACAACAGAATATGCTACCAACTTTTTTTTATAAAAAAGATTCAAATTAGAATTTACATATTAGCAGGCAAGCGAAACATGCATGGTATGACTTAAATTTGGAAGAAACCCCAATTGTCTTAGAAGGCTTTTACAGCCTTTACAAAGTTGGAAACCAGATAGCAAGTAATAAGTTCAATATTTGATGATGTTCTGCCTTTGCTATGCTTTGTCACTGGACCAAACAAAGCAATTGACGCATCTCTCAAAGGAACCCAACAGAATTCAACACAAATGAAGGTTATGTAATTACTCCTACTATATGGTTATGATGTAAACAAAAAACCTCAGTTTCAGACACATTAGAACAACATACCAATAACAGAACCCTAACAGAAACCTAAATTCCACATGAAAAACTTCAAAATCAAAAATCCAAGTGCTCTGTAGTCAAAGCCCCTAGTTTATTTCTATTGAATTGGATCGGATAGGATAATCAATAACCAGAATTTTTAAAAAATAAAATAAAATAAAATAGAATTCAATATCTTCATTGACCCTAAAGTAAAGATATGCCTGCATTGTATAGATAAACATCCAAACATCAATAATTGCAAAGCAACCCTCAAAGTATCAGGAAAACCCCAAGATCCAACAAAGAAAAATCTGAAGTAACCCTAATCAATAATCATCAGTCGCAGACAAAGATTTAAGAATTATAATTCGAAAATAAAACCCTAAATCCTGAAGTTACCAAAACCCTAGATCTGTAAATAACCTTTCTCAAATTCAACAAGCAATCAAGGGCCACATTAAAAAATCTAAAACAGCATATATATCCATTACACAAAAACACTCAAAAGCCATTAAGAGATTATCATGGTAAGGATATATAACATAAGGGATTGGGGAATGATGAGAATGTGTTTATAAGAAAGGAAATAGAGAGGAACTGCAGTGCAGAGACCAAAAAGTCATCCAGTACACGAGCATATTTTTGCAATAAATCCTATAAGTGAGGATGTCAACATCACAAGATGAGATGCTAAGGGTTGATAGGAATATGACTCATGTCCCAAGATCCACAACCTTAAAAGGGGAAGGGTTTTGAGGGATTGGGGGGGGAAAAAGTTGTTCAGAGCAACTGAAATGCAAAGAGTTTTATGTTCAACGGTCATCCCTTGCAAAAACAAGATCATCATACAACAAAAGGCTATGCTTGATGCATGTTCACATCAGATTAGATGATAGGACCTGTGAAGAAAAGTAATTACCGTTAATTCCTTGCATGGCACCATTGACAACCTGCTGAGCAGCAACATCATAAACATGACGAGTAGTTGTTGCTGGACCAAACACTCTATCTGCAGCCAAAGATATATGATATTGTTCATGGAAATCAAGGAGAACACCAACACTAATTACTGTCATGAAGAAAAAGTTAATAAATAAAATATACCCAAAGCATTCTAAACTTTAAAAACTCATTTCCACACAAGTACATCTTTTGAAAAGCAGAAGGTTTTCAAAATTCAGTGAGCAAATTGTTCTTCTCAACCCTGCAAGGACTTAAAATAGGAAAAATTATAGTAACAAAGGACTTGTAGCATGTGTGGGCCTTATTACCGAAGCTCGAAGAGCTTAACAGATAATGATGCATCACAAGCAAGCATTACATGAGTCAGGAAAATTTGAGGCATGGAATTGCAAGTGAGGTATACAATTCACAAAAGATGGTGAAAATTACATAATTTTCTAGTTGAATAATGAAAAATAAAGATCCACGACCTGTTGAGTACATCATGAGTGAACCAAAAGCTCGTGGTGAAGGACAATGAGATCAAAATTATCAGAATTCACAATATAATCACATGTATTTACCTATATTGCAAAAGAAAACCTTATCGGTGGTGAACAATTACTGTGTGTCACACCAATCAGGGAGTGCATATCATGCTAAAATATGCCAAGGCATCAGATTCTTCTATACTCAAATTGTTAAGACACCGGAACATTGCTAAATTGTTAAATTCTTAACATTATTTTCATCGCTAATAACGGTGAAAGGAAGTGTGTATAACATAATTGTCCTGCTTCATGATCAAAGATGAACAAGAAAGTTACGCAATAAAAAATCAATTCCTCTCGTTCATTTATGGGAAATTTGGCTATAAATCCCCTTTACCTTCCTTTCATTGTTAAAAGGATTAAGAAAAAAATTATACTTTCTAAACCCCCTTCATAATTATAAAGTCTTGCATAAAGGACAAAATTTATTATTTAAATATTTTATTAGACTATTATACCCTCAACTAAATTTTTCCACCTTCTCCACCCACTCTCTCCCCACCTTCTCTGTCTCTCTCCTCCCTCTCTCCCTTCTCTAGCTCCTTCAAGCTTCAAATTTGGAAGCTCAGCTACCGCCTCTGGAACTCCTACGTCGATCTCGCCAACGCCGCCGGCATCTGATCCTCTTCCGCCACTCCCTCCGACGAACACGCCAAGCTCCATCACGTCTCCGCTGATTTGCTCTTCTTATGTATATGTGTATGTATGTATTTATATATATGTGTGTGAATGTATGTATATATGACTCATGCATACATATGTATATGTATATATATCGGTAAGTGAGTGTATGTATGTATATTACGTGATATTTTTTTTAAATATAGATCTGAGTTTTGAATATATATGTATATATATATATATATATTTGTGTGTATGAGTGTTGTTGAACACATATATTCTTTGAAATCAAAAGATAGAGAGATATTTGGATGTGTTCTCTGAAATGGCCACCTCAATCAGATTATGATTATGTTGATATTTGGATGTTTTTGTTTAGTTTTTGATCTGTGTGTTTTGTGGTTATATATCCTTGTAATATAGATTTATGTTTTTACTAGTTTTTGAATTGACCTGTTCATACTCAGCTTGTTTAATGGATGATCGATCTATTAAAATGGATGATCTATTCAATTTCTCTCTCTTTCTCTCTCTCTCTGATAAGAATCTCTCTAATAAGAATTTCACACAGAAATTTTACTAATCAGAGTAAAGTTTACTCTGAATCAGAGTAAAATTTTACTCTGGTTAAAAAAAGTTGATTTGCTTAAAAATATAAAATTTTACTTTGAATCATAGTAAACTTTACTCTGATTCAAAGTAAAATTTTACTCTGAATCAGAGTAAAGTTTACTATGATTCAAAGTAAAACTTTACTCTGAATTTTTACTTTGGTTAAAAAACATGTTGATTTTCTCAGCAACCAAACTATATTTGGTTTTCTTGTTATGTTTCTGTGATTTTCTCAGCAACCAAACACACAAGGTTATTAATACATGATACTTAGTGTGATTCAAAGTGGATACTCTCATTAAATCATAGTAAAATTGTACTTTTAGAATAAAATTTTACTATGAATCAGAGTAAAAGTAAAATTTTACTCCGGTTAAAACCATGTTGTTTGCTTAACGATATAAAATTTTACTTTGAATCATAGTAAATTTTACTCTGATTCAGAGTAAAATTGTACTTTCAAAGTAAAAATTTACTCTGAATCATAGTAAAATTTTACTCTGATTCAGAGTAAAATTGTACTTTCAGAATAAAGTTTTACTCTGAATCAGAATAAAATTTTACTCTTGTTAAAAACATGTTGATTTGCTTAACAATATAAAATTTTACTTTGAATCATAGTAAATTTTACTCTAAAATACATGGCTTAATAGGAGAGCTAATATATGAGGGTAATATACTAAAAGAAACAAGTTTTAAAATATTAGAAATTTTGCATGTACCTATATAATTCTTGTCCTTTTGAAAGACAAATTAGATAGTGAGCGGTCTGTCACCAAATCCCCCTTCATTTATTAAACACCCCCGCTGGGTAAGCAAATTGAATTGCAAAACAATCAATGTCCTCCATAAATAACAAACCCAAGTTAATGCCATTCACACAAACAGACACAAATACATATATATAGACAGAGAGGAAGAGAGATAGAAAGAGTTCCAACTAACCAAAACCATAAGCAATGTTAGAATTGAACTCGTTCCGAACCGTGTAGTCCCCATCTGCATACCAAGCAATCTCGTCCCCTTTGTTAATCTCCCTAACACTGCTCAAAATAACAATTTCCAAGCCATTAAAAAACCAATCGAGCAAAAATTAAGTCTATCCACAGTCAACAGACTCTCCGTAACTCACATTCTTACAAACAGTCAAATAAGAAGACAAAGTGTGTACCTGAGAGGACGAAACCTGACAGTGACAGTCACATTCTCCTTGGTTTTGCTCGCATCTGGGCGGTCAAAGGCCGGAGTAGCAGGGCTCGCCGGAGAAATCGGAGGTTTGGAAGGACGCTTAGAAGAAGACGAAGAAGACGCCGAGGAAGGAGTCGAGGGCCGAGCTCCGCCGCCTTTCGCCGCCGTCGGAGGGGGTGGTGCCGGCGGCTTTCTTGAGCGGAAGGGAGATATGGAGGATCGGAGAGACCTCGAGGTGGAAGACATTGGTGGGAGGGAGAGTTGAGGCGGAGAAGCGTAGAGAGAGAGAAATGGGAGGGGGGTCTCACATGCCGGCCATGGCTTTGCTTGCTTTGCCGCCTTTGGTTCCTCCAAAACCAGCTTTTTTATTTTCAATCGGTTCTTTGAAAATGAGCAGCTTATAGTCAAATGTGGCAAAATGAGTAGCAACAGTCAAATGTGGCGGGTTAAAGATTCGAGCGGTCTCACTGTTGTAATTTTGAAAACTTTCAGGGTCGGTTTTGCAAAAATATTTTAATTTATTTATGGATGATTCCATTTTCACACCACTAACACTCCCACTCTCAGTACACACCATTAATAAATGGGTAATTTTATTTTTCAAAAATATTAGAGATCTCAAAAATTTTATCAAAAATTCTATCAAATGTCTCACATGTGTGGATCTCACACCAATGTTAGACATTTCATAGGAATTTTGATAGAATTTTTTAGATTTCTAGCATTAATCTTTATTTTCATACACTTAATTACCTCATTACACACATTTAAGGACACCTAATTACCTTAGTGCAGACACTTAATGAAATATTATTTTAATAGCAATTATACCCTAAACTAAAATGACCATAATAAACATCCATTAGCACTAGGGCTGCTCGCGGGTCGGTTTTGGCCGGGTGCGGGTCAAAACCAACCCGACCCGCACTTATGCGGTTGGGGAAAAATGGACCCGCAACCGCCCGCGATGCGGTTCGCGGTTTGTGCGGGTGGGTGCAGTTCGGTTTGCGGTTTAGTTTTTTTTTTTTTCTTCTTTTTTAAACTTAAGTAAATTTGACATTTTTTGTTACTTTCTAAACATTTTTTTTTTTTAGAAGAGTTATAAATTAAATTACAAGATATACAAACATGTTAGATAAGATGATATGGAACCATGCTTGAGGATAGTAATTAATCTTCCTCCTTAGCTTGCAAAAACAAACCCTTAAAAGTCAAACTAGTAACACTAATTTAAATATCATTAGATCATGATAATGTATATAAGTGCCCATATAATAAATTTTACTTTCATCCAAAATGTAAAAATAAAAATAATAACTAGTTATCTCCATCCATCCAAAATGCAAAAAATAATAATAATAACTAGTTATTTTTTCTTTAAAAAAAAAAAAAGAAAAAGATGCGGGTTGCGGGTGGGTCGGGTTCGACCCGAACCTGATCTTTTGCCAATTTCTTGACCCGCACCCGCCCGCCTACCTACATCGAAACCGCCCAAAGCACTGCGGGTAGGGTAGGGTCGGGCGGTTTGTGCGGGCGATCAGGTAAATTAAAATACTATTAAGGCAATTGGTATTAATATAATTTCTCTTTTAGTGTGTGCATGGGGGTTGATTGATGTTTTGACCCTTGTGCTATTGTGCATTGCAAAGCGGGTCGGGCTCGACCCGAACCCAATCTTTTGCCAATTTCTTGACCCGCACCCGCCCGCCTACCTACATCGAAACCGCCCAAAGCACTGCGGGTAGGGTAGGGTCGGGCGGTTTGTGCGGGCGGGTGGGTTTGTTGCCCAGCCCTAATTAGCACTCATAATATTATATAAAAGGCAGTGGCTTTGGTCCAGTCTAAGATCGGACTGGACCATGCTGTTGGGCCTGTGAGGGCCTACCACAGGTCCCATTTTGATAATTTGAACGGTTCAATGTACAGAACTCGTCAAGTACTATATGCCTATAAAAAATCACATTCATCGGATATCGATAGCTATGTGAACAAAATAGTTTTTCATCAACTGTTAATTGTTTCACCGTCCATTTTTTTTATACAAAACTGATTTGATTACATAGCTATTGATATCCGATCAACGTGATTTTTTACAAAAATATAGTACTCGACGAGTTCTACACATTGAACGGTTTGGATTATCAAAACAGACCCAAAAAATGGCCCGTTGGGCCGAATTGGACGGGTCCAATCCTGATCTCAACTTGAGACAAGCTGGACCCTATATAAAAATATTCTCTGTACACATCTTTTAAAAATAAAAATAAAAAAAATATCAATGTGCACCTTTTGAGAAAAAAAAAATTAAACCTTAGTTTTTCTACTGTTGTCACTTTACTTACTACACAATCCATACTTGTAAAGGCCCCAAAATGCATGTCACAATTAATCTTATTTAATTATGTATTAATATGAATTAATTTGAGAATATTTGTTTGTATTGGGAAAATATATGTTAGGGCCACGACTTCGGAACTGAAATTGATGACCTTAATGGGTTCAGAAACCAAAATTGAGCATATGGATATGCTAATGGGATTTTTTAGAGCCATTTAGGAAGTTTAGTTGAAAATTGATTTCGTCTGATTCGTTAAGTTATGTTTGATTGGCCTAAATAGATTTATATGGTATGTGATACATATTGAGCTCATCCTTATCATTTGAGATCAAATATCAGAGAAATAGAGAAAGATCCTTCTAGAGAAAGAAAGAGAGAGTTCAAAGAAAAGAAGAAAAAAGAGGAGGAAGACAAGCAAGATTTCCATAACCATTAGGTAAGAATCTTCCTTAAATGTCTTGAAAGAGGGTTGATACACTTATGATCTCATAGTAGTGAAGTTGAATTAAGAGGAAATCATGTCTAATTGAGAGTGTTGTATTGTATTTTAACCTAGAAATCATATGAGCATACATGGCAAGAATTGAGAAAATTGGTTCATATGTATGGCATGCATGGCATGAAGTTATGAAATTCATATTTAGAAATCATGTTTTCTTGCATGATTGCCATATTTGGGGAGGCAACTCCGTGGATTTGAGAAATGGAACTCTTATATGCATGTTTATGCTTTTTACCAACTTAAAGCAAGTTGTGAGCTTTTACATAGAGATTTGAATTTTGTTTTGAAGTTATGATTTTTATTTGAAGTTAGAAATGGGAAATTCAAGTTGTTTTCAAGTGTTTTGGGTCTTAATTTTCATGAATTTGGAGTTGGTTTTGTAAAAGAATAAGTTCCAACACTTGAGCAGATTTTTGGACTGGAATTGCACCCAGACCACTCGAGTAGCCAAGTTTGGTTTGGCCAAAGTTGCACGCTGTAGTTCACCCACACGTGCGGCCTAAGCCACCACACAAGCGGCCAAACCACTGCACATGCGGCCAAGGACATCGCACATGCGGCCAAATAGGACACTTTTTCTAGTTTTGTTTTCTTGCCATTTTCTGACTTCCAGGCCTTCGTTTATAGGGTTTTCACATGAAATTTACATCCATTAATAGGTGTGTGTAGTGAGTCAAATATATTAGGATTTATTTTTTTAGTGTGTGTATTAAGAAAGATTTGTATAGAGAGGAAAGGGTGTGTGTATATAGAAGCTCCCATTTTCACACCACTAACACTCCCGCTCTCAGTACACACCATTAATAGATGGTAATTTTATTTTTTAAAAATACTAGAGATCTTAAAAATTTTATCAAAAATTCTATCAAATGTCTCACATGTGTGGATCTCACACCAATGTTAGACATTTGATAGGAATTTTGATAGAATTTTTTGGATTTCTAACATTAATCTTTATTTTCATACACTTAATTACCTCATTACACACATTTAAGGACACCTAATTACCTTAGTGCAGACACTTAATGAAATATTATTTTAATAGCAATTATACCCTAAACTAAAATGACCATAATAAACATCCATTAGCACTCATAATATTATATAAAAGGCAGTGGCTTTTGTTCCAGTCCAAGATCGGACTGGACCGTGCTGTTGGGTCCGTGGGGGCCCACCACAGGTCCCGTTTTGATAATTTGAACCGTTCAATGTGTAGAACTCGTCGAGTACTATATGCCTATAAAAAATCACATTCATCGGATATCGATAGCTATATGAACAAAACAGTTTTTTATCAACCGTTAATTGTTTCACCGTCCATTTTTTTTATACAAAACTGATTTGATCACATAGCTATTGATATCCGATCAATGTGATTTTTTATAAACATATAGTACTCGACGAGTTCTACACATTGAACGGTTCGGATTATCAAAACGAGCCCAGAAAAATGGCCCGATGGGCCGAATTGGACAGGTCCCGTCTTGATCTCAACTTGAAACAAGCTGAACCCTATATAAAAATATTCTCTGTACACATCTTTTAAAAACAAAAATAAAAAAATATCATTGTGCACCTTTTGAGTAAAAAAAAATTAACCTTAGTTTTTCTACTGTTGTCACTTTACTTACTACACAATCCATACTTGTAACGGCCCCAAAATGCATGTCACAATTAATCTTATTTAATTATGTATTAATATGAATTAATTTGAGAATATTTGTTTGTATTGGGAAAATATATGTTAGGGCCACGACTTCGGAACTGAAATTGATGACCTTAATGGGTTCAGAAACCAAAATTGAGCATATGGATATGCTAATGGGATTTTTTAGAGCCATTTAGGAAGTTTAGTTGAAAATTGATTTCGTCTGATTCGTTAAGTTATGTTTGATTGGCCTAAATAGATTTATATGGTATGTGATACATATTGAGCTCATCCTTATCATTTGAGATCAAATATCCGAGAAATAGAGAAAGATCCTTCTAGATAAAGGAAGAGAGAGTTCAAAGAAAAGAAGAAAAAAGATGAGGAAGACAAGCAAGATTTCCATAACCGTTAGGTAAGAATCTTCCTCAAATGTCTTGAAAGAGGGTTGATACACTTATGATCTCATAGTAGTGAAGCTGAATTAAGAGGAAATCATGTCTAATTGAGAGTGTTGTATTGTATTTTAACCTAGAAATCATATGAGCATACATGGCAAGAATTGAGAAAATTGGTTCATATGTATGACATGCATGGCATGAAGTTATGAAATTCGTATTTATAAATCATGTTTCTTGCATGATTGCCATATTTGGGGAGACAACTCCGTGGATTTGAGAAATGGAACTCTTATATGCATATTTATGCTTTTTACCAACTTAAAGCAAGTTGTGAGCTTTTACATGGAGATTTGAATTTTGTTTTGAAGTTAGAAATGGGAAATTCAAGTTGTTTTCAAGTGTTTTGGGTCTTAATTTTCATGAATTTGGGGTTGGTTTTGTAAAAGAATAAGTTCCAACACTTGAGCAGATTTTTGGACTGGAATTGCACCCAGACCACTCGAGCAGCCAAGCTTGGTTTGGCCAAAGT